GCGAGGCTGGTGGGGTGGGATTAACCCCTGACCCCAGGGCCGAGGTGAGAGGAGGCATGTGGGTGGGAAGATTAACTAGGGTTTTGTCTGCCCCTCTGCCCATTGGCTGGGGACTGCCCTGAGGGTTTGGGGCACAGGGATGCCCAGGGGGTCTTGGGCAGGGAACTGGGGACTCTATGGGGGGACATCCCAGGGGATCAGGGAGTCTCTGTAGGATCTTGGGCAGGGGAATGGGGTATCTCTGGGGGTTCTGAGTGGGGTGGGGGGGTCTCAACTGGGGTATCAGGGTGGTTCTGGGAGGTCCTGGGGGTAGTGGCAGAGCCCAAGAGCCTCAACCAGGGGGTTGGGGAACACTCTGGAGGTTCTGGGTGGGGTGGTATTCCAGTGGCAGTCCCCACCCCTGACCCCACTCCCTTGTTCTCTCTTGCAGGCGCCCAGCCACGTGTATGGGGGCCACGGGAGCCATGTGACTAATGTGCGCTTCACGAATGATGACAGCCACCTGGTCTCACTGGGGGGCAAGGACACCAGCATCTTCCAGTGGCGGGTGCTGGGGGGCAGCCTCCCGCACAGCTGCTCGCTCTCCTCTGCCTCCCTCTCTTCCCAGGAGGCTGGGGGCTGCGCCTGAGCTGGAGACACTGCAGGGACCAAGCCTCATTGCCTGTGGGCCTGGACAGCTCTGGCACATGGACCCCAGCAAGCCAGGCCCAGCCAGAGGGTTCCCTCACCTCCTGGCACTAACGCGTGCTAATAATGCGACCTGCTTCATTAACACTGGGGGGCAGGCCTGGATTCTGCTCAGGGCCCAGCACAGGTTAGAGTGGTGGGGCAGGGCCGAGGGCCTGTTGGCAGCTCCCACCAGGGCCCAGGGGCTCAGCTGGGAGGGTGCTGGGATTGGGGCTCTTGCCTTGAAGTCCTCATTGCATGAGGGCCGGGGGGAGGGGGGGATGTCTGGCAGGGGAACTCATGGGTTAGGGGGACCATGTGGGTGTTAATGGAGGCAGCCCATCTTTAGTCCTGGGGCTGTCCTGTGTCCACCCTCACTCGGTTCCCCATTCCCAGAACGTGTGTACAATGGGGCCTGTCCACCTGGGGGCATTCTCTCCCCCCAGGAGTCTGAGGGCTGCCCCCAACGCTGGGACCAAGCCTGGAGAAGCAGGACACTGCTCTCCCCGCTTCGTTTACATTCCTGGCTGCGCCAGAGCAGCAAGACGCTGAACACTGTGAGAGGCAGCAATAAAGCCTTGGCATCAGGGGCTGGGCTCCTGTCTCCTTCCTGTCAGGGCTGGGGAGCAGGCACACAGCAGCGGTAGAGGGTGGGGGGCAGAAGGCTGTGGGCAGGGGCCACAGCACTGGGGGGGGAGAGGAAGGCATGCTAGGGGCAGCAGGGGGTGGGGCTAGCCTGCGTTAGGATGGGGCAGTGCAGGGATCACTGTTAACACGGCCGGGAGGGGGGAGCGTGCCGAGGCTTTGGTTCCAGAGTGTGGGGAGAGAGAAATGAGGGATTTAGCTCCCCAAGTCTAGTGGGATACAGAGAGAACATCTCTGCCTCTCTGCTGGAGCGCTGTCATTCCTACATGGCAGGACACTGGAATTAGTACAATGGTGCCCCACTCCAGAGGTGGCTGCATCTCACCTTTGGATGCAGGATCCCCTTGCAATCAGTGAATTCCTGAGCATGAGGAGTAAATTAGTGGGTATTTTGGGTTGCACAGCTGTAAATTTGCATATGTACCTGTATGCAAATAACCCTGGTGCAGTTGAGGCTGCTGGGAATTGCCCCTGTTTCCAGGGGCAGCCTCGCTGCAGAGCCCCTCGGAGAGGAATGGGTTAAAAACCCAGCGCTGCGGTCTCCCTCCGGAAAGGCCCGAGCGGGACAGTCTCTGTCCGGAAATAGCCGAATGCTGCAGTCTCCGTATTTACCCGAAGATCGCCGGCAAGGCCCGAAGTTCTGCCCGGCGCCGGCCATCTGGACTGGAGTCACTGGCCGGAAGGACCCGATCGCCGGGAGGCTGTCGTCGGCGATGCCCGAAGCTTTCCCCAGGTGCTTCCGGAAAGATACGAGCGTTTCCGGAGAGACCCGATTTGGGCCCGAAGCCGCCTCGGATATTTCCGAGCCTCCCCGATCCTTTCCCGGAGACCCCCGAAGCGCGGCCGGAACCGCCCGAAGCCGCCTGGCCCTGGCCTTGCGTGAGGAGGAGGCGGCGGCGGCGGCGGCGCGGCGGAGATGAAGAGCGGCCGGGAGCGGGGCTAGCGAGGGCCCGAGCGGAACCGGACGGAACCCCCCCCCCTTCCCCCATCGCGCGGCGGGGCCATGGCGGCCAATATGTACCGGGTGGGGGGTGAGTCGGGGCCGGGGCTGCCCCCGGCTGGGACTGAACTGGGCAGAGCGGGGTTGGCCCGGGGGGGAGTCAGTGCGCGGCTGGGCGGGGAGTGCGGGAGCCGCGGGCTGGGGGAGTGAGCGAGCGGGGCAGACGGGGCTGGGGCGCCCCCAGGAGTGTGGCGCTGCGGGGCAGTGGCTGGGCCGGAGGTGTCAGTGTGGGGGGAAGCGGGGCCGGACGGGGCGGTGTGTCCCCAGCCCTAGCGAATGGGGGGGGGTGCGGGGAGGATGCTCTCTTAGTTCCCTAGAGGAAGAGGCTGTTCTCCCCCCACATGCTGCGCCCCTCTGTCGGGGTAGGGGAGCGGGCGGAGTGGGCTGACCCACAGGGAGCAGGCTGTGTGGGGGGGTTGGGGGTGGGGAGCAGCGGGTTTGTTATGTGGGGGTTGGGGGGTTGCTATAGGGTGGGAGCGCTGTGGGATAGGGAGGTGCTTTCATCAGGTATGGGGTGTTCACAGGCTCTGGAGGGCATGGGGCAGTTGGGGGGATCAGGTTGTGGGGGGGAGGTGGACAATGGGGGTAAGGGATGATGGGCTAGTTATGTGGGGGCAGGGGAGTCTGGTGTAGTGAGCTGGTGGCATGGTGTGAAGAAGTTCAGGTACTGTGGGGAAATAGGGCACTTGGGGTTCTGGCTGGTGGATTGGGCTGGTAATGGGCTGGTTATTTGGGGATGAGGTAGGTTGTGGTGGGAGCTGGCAGGTTATGGGGTGGAGGGAATCCTTTGGGGGGCAGTGAGTTTGGTTACATGGGGTAAGGGAATTTACCGGGTGTGGGGCCCATATGGGGTCCAGGGCGGTGGGCTGGTTATATGGAGTACAGGACTTGGTGAGCTGTGGGTATGGCTGGTCGGGGAGCGATTGGGGAATGGGGATCAGTGAGGTGTTTATATGTGGTCAGGAGTTTGCTTGTGGGGTGTCTGGGGCAGTTGACCAAGTAGGGTGTGAGGTGCTTGTGGGGGAGAGTTGGGGGGAATCTGGTTGTGGGGAGGCCGGGGGGCAGGTTATATGTGGGGGCAGTTTGGGGGTGTGGGTTGTGGGGGGTGGGTTTGGAGGGCTGGGTGAGGTGTATGTAATTTTGGGGCAGTTAGGGGTGGGTTATGGGCTGAGGTAGGGGGAGGCCTGGTTGGGGGGTGTCTGGTTTGGGGATGTTGTGTAGGGTGGGTTATGTGGGGGGCAGTTTGTGGGCGTGGGTTGTGTGTGGGGGGGGTTGGAGGGCTGGGAGAGGCGTATGTAGTTTTGGGGCAGTTAGGGGTGGGTTATGGGCTGAGGGAGGGGGAGGCCTGGTTGGGGGGTGTCTGGTTTGGGGATGTTGTGGAGGGTGGGTTATGTGGGGGGCAATTTGTGGGCGTGGGTTGTGTGTGGGGGGGTTGGAGGGCTGGGAGAGGCGTATGTAGTTTTGGGGCTGTTGGGGGTGGATTATGGGCTGTGGGAGGAGGAGGCCTGGTTGGGGGATGTTGTGGAGGGTAAGTTATGTGGGGTAGTTTGGGGGTCTGGTTATGGAGATGATGTGTGGAACAGTTGGTTGGGAGGTGGGGACAGTTGTGGGACATCTCATTTTAGAGCAGTTGGGGGAGTGGCACTTTGGGGGAAGGGTCTCTTCTTCCTGGTGGCTCTATTTTATAACGTCCTCCCCTTGTGCTGACTCTGGGGTGTGTTCCGCGTGTGTGTGTGTGATCTTGCACTGAGATCCTTTTGCAGTTGTGCTGCTTTGGGTGGGGGGCTGTCTCCTCCTATCCTGGCAGTGCTTTGCCCACACCAGTACCTGGGTGTTCCGCTGCCTGGGCACTGTGGCTCAGCTACCTCCTGAGCCTGGTAAATGCTGTCCATGCCTAGCTTTTGCTGCTCCGGGCTGGAACCTATCACCAGGCACTGGCAATGCTGCCTTAGACTGGGCCCTGTCTGTGCAGATGTTTGGCAGGTGGTGCCAGCAGGGGGCGCTGCCTGGTGCCTGGCTGTGACTGGGAGTGGCAGTGGAGGGGTCTGGGTGCTAAGGGGGGTGGGATAGGAAGTTGGCCCCTGCTCTGGGGTGCTGCAGCCTGGACAATGTTGCCTATGTGTGCAAGTGGGTGCTGATGGGAGGGATGTGTTGGTGCCTGCTGCTGTGCTAACTGGTGAGATGGAGACTGGGAGAGGGACCCCCCCTTTGGGGGCTGCCTGGCTACTGCTGTTCAGGGCCTGGCCTAGGGTGGGGGCAGGAAACCCCATGGATACACAGGGTGCTTGGCAGGCGAGTATGAAACAGCTGGGGCAGTCTAGGTGAGGCAGCCCCACGGGGGAGGAGATGAATGCCCCATTGGGAGCAGGTGGCACTGGGGTGGAGACTGAAGGTGGTGGTGTGCCTCCATGGGGACAGGTGGCTCGCGTGATGGCTCTGAGGGTTCAGCCTGTGCTTCCTGGGTGCCTGCCTGTTCTCCTGATTTCCCTCTGACGTCTTCGGTCTCAATTCTCTCTGCAGATTACGTCTATTTTGAGAATTCCTCCAGTAACCCCTACCTCGTCCGGCGCATTGAGGAGCTCAACAAGGTGAGGGGCCATGGGACCACACCCAGGGGACCCCCCTCCACCACATGTCCTGCATGCAGCCCTTAGGGCCACAGGACCACAGCCGGTACCTGTATGCTCACTCCCACCAGCCGTGCACCAGAGACCCACCCCCCCTCCACCTCCCTTGGGCTTTGGGACCAGAGCTAGACATCCGTACCCCCTCTCACACCAGAGACCCACACCCCTCCCCCACCCCTCCTACTGGGCTTGGGCGCAACAGCCAGATGTACCCTGTCTGTACATCCCCCCTAAAGGCTGGGGACCTGCAGCCAGACCCCCACAGACACACACCATTGGGGATTTTTGTAGCCAGACCCCCTCTACAGGAGGGACCCGTTGGCCAGATTGAAAGGTTGCTCCTGGGGGCACTGCAGCCGCTCTGAGCCTGCCATGTGTACGTACGGGAGGGAGCTAGGATCCCCTGGCGGTTGCCTCAGTGCCCCAGCTGGGAGGCTGCACCGAGTGCTGTGTCTAGGGCATGGGGGTAGTGAGGAGCAACTCCCAGGGGAACAGCAGTGCCAGCCCCTCCTCTCAGGCAGCGTCCTGCTCTCATCCCCAGACAGCCAATGGCAATGTGGAGGCCAAGGTGGTGTGTCTCTTCCGGCGCCGGGACATCTCCAGCAGCCTCAACAGCCTGGCTGACAGCAACGCTCGTGAGTGCTGGGGCCCATCCCCATGGCTCTACTGGCAGGCCTGGGGCCTCTGGGGGTCTGTCTTAGGGGGAGCATGGAGTGGGGTAGAGGTCTTGAGGGCTATTAGGCTGTCTCAGGCTAGCAGGGGGTGGGTCTATCTTTGGGGATGAAGTAGTAGGGGCATGCATAGGGTTGGGGGACAGTCCTAGTCATTGGGGAGCAGTGGCTGTCTCTCAGGTGTGGGGTCTTGGGCACTGGGATGTGTGTGTGGGGACTGTTGGGGGGCAGTGGGGCATGTGTGGGGTGGGGCTGATTGGAGGAATATTATGGCCCCATGCCTGTGATGCAGGGCAGACATGCTGACAGAGTTGCTGCCGCCTGGAGCTAGTGGGTGAAAGGCTACCCCGCCCGCCCCTCCCTGGGCAGCTCCCTGCTTGCCTGGCTAGGAGAGCTGCCAGCTCTTTCCCCAGCCCTGTCTCCTCCTTCCCCTCCCCGTAGGCTGCAGGCACTGGGTAAGAGTGGCACTAATCCTTGTCATTTGTGGTATGGGGCAGGAGGTGTCTCTGGGGTGATGAGCCCCCCAGCACACAGTACAGTCAGGGTCCCACATCCTCCTCCCTGTCTCACGCCTATTCACCCTGCACTGGGCAGTGTCCAAGGATCTGTGAAGGGTCTTGCAGGTGCCGAGACTTTGAC